TTACATTATCAGCTACTGTTTTGTAACTAAACAGTGCTAAACTTAAAAACATTATCTATATTATCCCCTATATTACATTATCAGCTACTGTTTTGTAACTAAACAGTGCTAAACTTAAAAACATTATATTATCCATTATATTACAATATTAGCTACTGTTTTGTAACTAAACAGTGCTAAACTTATAAACACTATCTACTTTATTATACCCTATATTACATTATCAGCTACTGTTTTGTAACTAAACAGTGCTAAACTTAAAAACATTATCTATATTATCCATTATATTACAATATCAACTACTGTTTTGTAACTAAATGGTGTCAGCTAAAACTTTATAACTAGAAATAACTGAATGGTTTTAGTTGCAGATTATGAACAAGATCAAGGCCTTAGCATGTTTTACATAATACTGTTGCCTAGTTTTTAAAACTGGGTGTTCTTAGAGTTTAAAGAACTGTATCAATTATATTAGCTTTTCTTCATAATCATACAAACTATTGTCTTGTAGTGAATAGTATCAAGTAGTATTTATAAACAAGAAGTGTTCTTATTTTATTCTACATTCCTCAGTCAACTTATGTTCTGTTAGTAAATGATGTCAAGTAGAGTTAATGTTAATCTATATATTTAATGGAGGCTTCGGGATAATGGTCTACAATCCAAAAAAGTCTTATCCCCTTCACACCCAGGCACTTCCACTGGTCCAAGGTGCTTTAGTTCACACTCTTCTTCTTGTCCAGTTTGACTTATCCTGTTTCATTTTGACTTTTTAATGGTGGTGGCTTATATTACTTGCCAAGGGGACACTCCTTCTTGTTCCCTTTGAGGTAAATAGTGGATTTCCTTTTTTTGGACCCACACACTTGAAATATGTCTCCTGGAGGGTCGTGTTCCAGATGCTTTGTCCTCATTGCTAATTGGCTTTCCAGTCTTGACACACTTTCTTCCAAGGAGTGACCTCTCGATCCTCCTAAATTTTAGTGGCTCTACCTCCTGTGGGGTACTCCTCCATTTGAAGTTTTTTAATATTTATCACTTCCCAGTTAGTTACCTCTTTTGTTTTTGGTCTCTAGTTTTTTTTCTCATTCCATCAGTCTTTTTTCCCAAATGTTTGTCTGTTCATATCACTTCAGTTCAAGTCAGTTCCTGACTGGCACTGCTTTGATTTTCTCGGCTGTTTTGGCTCGATTTGTTTTCTTTTGTTCTGGATGGATTTTACTAACCTAAATTTTAGTGGCTTATGTAGGACATTTCTTTTGACTTCTTCATTTCTTACCATCTTCCACATTTCTTCTCAGTGGGATCCAGATGACCTTCTCTGTCCAGTTCATGTTGTGGGTTGCTTCATTGTTTTTGATGCTTCTTTCCTTTGAATCCATTTCCTCATCTTACTCCACTTCTTTGTCTGTGATTTTTTTTCCATTCCTCCCTTACCCATTGGATTTGGATTGTGATTCAATTGGCCTTTTATGTCTTATCTCCTTCTTCCCATCATCACTTCCTGATGTCTTCACCTTTCCTTTTCCCTGTACGTCTACCCTGCTGTCCATTGGAGGTACTCCATATATCGAGCCTTGGATCTACATCTCATGTTCATCTCCCATTTTCTGCTTTGGATAGCTTTCTTCCTTGTCAGAATTCCATCATCTACCTGTTGCCATCCTTTACTCTTTCATGAGACTGTGACAGGGTAAGCTACCTTTTAGTATATATACATCTTCTTTTTCAGGGACATATTTCTTGTTTTCTTTCTGGATCCCACTCTGTGCCAAGTGGTGCCTGACCAAGTATTCTTTAACCATTCAAATCTGCATTGCAAGACCATGTTGACTTGCACATTATGATTCCATGGCCATGCAATGCACCCATGCAGATATGGGGTGTTCCACAAGATTGCTTGTAGGTTCATCTTTGCAATAGGTTTGATTCATACATTTGCCCATCCTGGACTGTACTTACTCATGGACTACATGGGTAAAGCAGAAGGGATAGCTGCACATCCCTGCCATGCTTTGTATTGAATAAATCAGGCTGGTCTGCTTTTCAAAATAGGGTTTCATGGTCACCCATTGTACTGTCTCAGGTGTTGTCGCTCCTCCGGACTTTCTACTGTGCTTTCTCCCCCCTTTTTATGTAGTGGAGTTTGAGAGTCCTTACCACTTTCTATTTCCAAGCTGCTAGGGTGGTGGACCGTGGAAGCATCTTCTTGAATGTGTTAATGAAATACAAATAATATATATATATATATATTAATGATTATAAGACTATTCAGTTGACAGTAGGGAGGTGGTGTTCTGCTGGTGCAAATGATGAGATATCCTCCACCATGTAACATGGGAGTGAGCTGCCAAAATTGAAATTCACCCCTTCACCTTTTGGATTTAGAGCTGAAACAATTAACATAAGTCCTCACACATGTAATACAGATGTCTTTATTCCCTCACTCATTTATACTGTTGCTACTCCATACGTGTTGTGGGTTACAGTGGAGGTACTTGCAGATTACCATGGTTCTTCCCCTTCCACTATCCTTTGATGCTTATTATTCCGAGGATGTTACTGCATTTGGAGTGGTTTCCGGTCATTATATATTTGAGTGAGATGGTTTACATTACACAGACATCTTTTTGATACCAGATGTTGGGTTCCTGAATCAATCATTCAATTTCGCTCATTATTATCATGTGCCTGTTCATAGGTCGGGGTTACAAGATTCCCTTTGGTCTCTTGAACTTGAGGTGAAGACGATATGATCCTTTTTCCTTCCCCTACCAGGTGGCTGAGTTTTGGATTGCAGTTGAATTACCGATGGTATGATCTTCATCTTACCTCCACGTCGATGTTGGTTCCTGGCAGCATGGGTTTTGAATGTAGTTGACTTGCCGTGCACGGTACATCATGCCCTACCCACTCTACACCTAAGGGCACATCTTTTAATCTTACCCACTTTTATGTTTTCTGGGGATTGAGTTTAATATATAATGTAGATATGTCATATTTCTATGTCCTTAGCACCCAGTTTCCAGTCACTGGGGTGGTGGACAGAGGCTTTTCTTCAAGAGTGTTAGAGTGAATTCCTCCACTCTTTGAGAAGAGAATGAAGTTGAGGGTCCTCCTGTCCAGTTCCCTGGATGTTTTTCCCAGATGTTGGTAGGAGTGGTACCAGACTATATGGGAGCCTACTCGTAATACTGATTCAGATTTGGTTGGGGTGTGCATGGCCCTTCTGTTTGATCAATATTGATTCATTACATAGTTCATAGAAGAGGGTCCACTATCTCCTCATAATTCCGAACATGGAATGGTCTCATCCTGGGTCCTTGGTTGGGCACAGTTGTTCGACATCTTCCACATAATTCCAGGGGCAAGCAGAATGTACCTTGCCCACACGGTTTGGGAGTGAAGATGAATGTTCATAATTCCAGACCGGATGAGTTCTGTTTCCTTTGGTTGAGTAAGGCATACTCGATCCCATCATTCCGAGCCTGAGGTGTTGCCTTTCCATTTTTTCTTCAGGTGGAAGAGATGGTTTGTCCACTTCAGTGTTGCTTACTTTCTTGTTGTGATTCTGATGGCTTGGAACACATCACTTTATGGCTACAGATTGGGATCTACTCAGAATTATATATCTACATAATGTTGCAGTCAAATTACCCTAGCCACCAACATAGATATAGGGACCAAGACCCCATATTTCCAACTCCGAGTAGTGGAACCTTGGCTATCTGGTTGTGGCTGGCCTATAATGATGATCACTCATGCACAATTCCACCCTTGATACAGGAATTAAGTTCAGTGTTAAGAACAAACCTGTTCTGGATGTAGTGCAGTTCCCCCTACAGGATGCCAATCTTCTATTGTCACACCCATGTTCTATGCAGACACTTTCTGTACGGATAATGCCTTCACTAGCCCCTCCACCTTCTAATTGTGGGATTTTAGCTGTAAGTGGGAGTTTTGAAAGTTAACATTTTAGTATTATTGAAAATGTATTTCCAATAATACTTACCTCTTGTCACTCTTTACTGCCCTTCCTCCCCACTAAGAGCCGGTGTTAGAGACTGTGGATTGAGTCAGTCTCGAAAAAGTGATAACATTATGTGAATGAGGTGCTTGTATACAGTACCAGGATAAAGGGCACATTGATGTAAGTGGAGAGTGTCACAATACAAATATTGCCAAGGGCAATTAAGTGGAGTATAAAAGATTGGAGCAAGCTTAGATAGGCAAAGAAAGTTGAGTAATAGCTATAAGTGTAAGTGGAGGTAAGTATGATTGGAAATGCATTTTCAATTTAGGAAAATGTTAACTTTGATGAAAAATATGTAATTATAATTCACTGCTATTCTATAAGCAGTTATTTTTGAATGATACATTTTCCTGGAGTGAAAATATAACTAAGTTTATGTTCATCTTAACCCACATTCTTTCTAATACATTTTTCAAACTAACTTGAAATACCTTATAAGAGTCATGAAACTCAAAATATTGTGTTTTGTTCGTATATCAAAATTTCTTCATTTTTATTTTTACTATATTAGCTTCTTGTTGTTTCCTTACAAAGAATGAGGTATTTTATTGATTTGTTCAGTGTATTTGGAAATGTCTTGAAATAAAGTATTTGTGAGTTGCAATCTGTATTAAAAGAATATTGTGATTTATAATTTTACTACCTGTATAAAGCAACTTGTGCATCAGTAAAAGTTTACCTCTTTGTTATTTTGCACAGATTTCTTATTTTATCATAAATAATTTAAAAATGAAGAAATTCAGAATTTATATTAGTATATACAAGCCTCTGTAAATGATAGCATACATAACTATTAATTAATATTAGTATAATGCACAAGTAAAAACTAGAGCATAACTATTTACTGCATTGTTAAATATGACTTTTTAATGGTTTGCTTTAGGAACTTTTAACTAACTTAATAATTCAAAAATATGATAACATTTACAGTAGGGAAATTCTGATATTAATTATTACAAGATTTTGACCCTTAGTATCAGGTCATCATCAGGTAACATTACCTAAAATAACCCATTACTATTGGTTGAAACTTTGTAATCATTAAAACCAGGATTTTCCTAATGTGAAACTTGCTTTTATTTTATTTTTGAATTACTTAATCAGAAAGTTCCTCACCAAACATTAATTTAATAATGTTGCATTTTGAGATTTTATGGTCATCTGAAAGTAAATTAGCAAAACAAAATTTTTTGTCTTAAAGGTTTACATGTGGCATGCATAGGTGAATAATCTGGCAACTGTGTGACATAATGAAGTATAAGTATGTGTGTTTTAATTATACACTTAGTGGAGTAAATGACATGGAACATCTGACAACAGCAGTGTAAATATTGTGACTAAGTAGTTCTCTGTAAATTCAACACTGTATGTAATAGAGCTAGGAGGTTACCTGTAACTATCCTGAAAGACATGTGAATATGCTAGGTTAATTAAGTTAAAAAATATATACATTTCTGTTTACAAATTCAACAGAATAAAAATGTGCCCCTGAGTTAAATAATCGGTTTTCTTTAAAATTCAGTTTTGTAACTGCAGCTTAAAAACATTATTTAGTTTCCTGAAAATATGACATATAGTTGAAATATATAACATTATTAACATTCAACAAGTCTTAAAAAATGTATTCTTTGCTTCTTTAAATTTGCAGGTCATTCAATTTGCATGTTCCCCTAGTGCCATCTAGTGATGATCTGGTTTTACAGCAGCGAGGACTACATTTTTTGGGTCTTAGAATTTTCTTGTATTTAATTGCTTATGGTCTAGTAATTCTACAGGTGTTGGTAATATCTTCACTTGTCATTCTGTTTGGAGCCTTACATCAGTTCTTTATGAGAAGGTGAGTGTGTTTTGGTGTTATTAAGAGTTTTATTTTAAGTAAAACATTAATTATAAATGTTATAGGTACATTTGAAGTGTGCTGTATCAATAAAACTTAAGATCAATTACTACTTTCAGGCCATCATGATAAGGCAAGTCATTCTAGCTCTTTAATTTTGCTGAATAATAATATATTTAGTAACATAACATAAAATTTAAGGACAGCAAGAAACATATTAGTCCATCTATTGAAATATTTTCTGACCCAAAAGCTTTTATCATTCTTTAAACTTCCCAATTTTCTCTGAACAAGCTCAGAATTAATGTGATCATGTTTCCGTATAGAAACTGTTCAGGATAAAGAATATTGCTGAAATCTTCTTAGTAAGAATTAGAGAAAAAAAAGTAGAATTTAATCAGAAGTGAGCCACCCTTTGTTATCCATCAAAAGCCCTTAAAGTATTTTAAAAAATCCTTACTATTAATTTTTACATCTATAGCCAACCTTTTTTAAAATACTTTAAGGGTCTTTGATGGATAACAAAGGATGGCTCACTTCCGATGATTATGAGTTGGCTAGATTATTAAATTCTACCTTTTTTCTCCAATTTTTACTAATGTCCTGTTTAACAAATTCTCTTAACCTTCTATAATCCTCTAAGTCTCCCATCATATCAGTCATTTTAAATTTCTTAAAATTCATAGTCAAAGCATATTGGTTAAGATAGGGTTGATTGACCAAATACAAATCCAGACTGGAAGAATAAATTGATATCTGTAAGTGTTAAAAAATGAATGAAACCTGGTTATGCCGGAAATCCTGCAAAGCATCTTTAGGCTATATCTTCATTTAATGATAAAAAACCATAGTTTTTGGCTTTTCTTTGCATATAGATGCTTGATACATTAAGAATGACTGAAAGAATAATTTGAGTAATAATTAATATGTATTTGTTACTTTATAGGTTTAATAGATATTTGTTGTTACTTTATTAACATTTTTATGCTTATACTGTGAGGTAAAAATGGCTGCTGCTATGATTTTGTCTGGTTTATGAGCTCGTTGCTGTCCTAATTTAGGATCTTCTTTTTAATAAATTCTTGAAAATGTTAAAAAACAGAGAGAGAAAGGGGGCCCGTGCTGGCTCTCAACGTTCCTGCTTACTACAAATAATATAATTATAAACTGTACTAACATGTTAACATTATCTCTTTGCATTTGCTTTTTTTAATAAATTGATATATGCCATATAAACATGTTCCTATTGTATTTACTACAGTAGTATAATTATAAGACTGTACTAACATGTTAGTATTATCTCTTTGCATTTGCTATTTTTTTCTAAATAAATTGATATATGCCATGTAAACATGTTCCTATTGTACTTATAGAACTATACTAATATAATAATATTGCCTTATTGTTTTCTGATAAATTGATAACTGCTATGTAAGTATGTTTATGTTGTAACTACCACAAGAATAGAATTCTTGGACTACGTGAACATGTTACCTATGTGAACATGTTAACAAATTGATAGATGCAACATGTGAACAAGATTCTATTGAACCTACCACAAGAATCCAATATAATAATTGGGCCTTATGAACATATTACCTCTAAATATCTTCTTTCTTAAGTGTAGTTTCTACATCCATATTCAGAATCTTCTCTTGATGCCTCCTTCATAAAAGATACTTAATTTATAAAGCATCAAAACCTCAATGACTGAAGATATGACAGTGGCAAAGTGATGCAGGTTTTTATTGTGTTGAATTTCCAAGTATAACTAGTCAGGCTTAGGCTATAAGCAAAATCTTGCCACTTTATGTTATGTTGAAGCATTTCATTACCTGTTTAATAATCCTAATCTGTCCATACAGTTTTATCAGAATTAAGTTGTGTGTGTATATATATAACTTTAATTGTATTTCTTTTAAACATTTTTATATATTTATTTATTAGTACATATTTTTTCCTACTGTGAAGGTTTTCACAAACAGAAGTGACACCTGTGACTGAAAAGAAGCCAACATTTGATCTGGTGTTTGTTGTGGCCTGTAGTGTTTTGGCAGCAGTGGCTTTCACAGTAGCTGGTGGGCTAGGACTGATTGGAGGTTTTTTCCTGCAGTTTTTCAAGGTTGGTTTAGATCAGTGCTTCTCATTTGAGTGAATGAGAATGATGGGGTGAATGGCAGGATGAGTGAGTATTATCAATTATACAACAAATTCAAGAGCAAAAAAGTCATTAGTTATTATTATTTATTCTAGTTGTAGTTTGATAAATACATTTATTATTTTGTTTATTTTATGTTGTATTCATTGTAATTGTAGTTTGATGTATATTTAAGTCATAATAAAGAATTTTGCATTTTAATGTACTATTTTTTGTCTCTTTTTCAACAACTGGGGTGAGTGAGCTATTGTGAAACTTATAGAGGTGAATGATATTGAAAAAGGTTGAGAAACATTGGTTTAGATAACTGTTTAATTTGTTAATAGTTCAGCATACACATTTTTCAAAATCTTTATAAATGTTTTGAATTTAAAAAAGAGAAATAACATAATTGATATAATGTTAAAATGAATATAATTATTTTTATTTTTAACTAAATACATTACTACTATTTTATATAACTGGAAAGTTATTACTGTATTCTGAAGGAGAGGTATCTTTAGAAATAAAAAATGCACATGTAAATATGATTAATAATAGTATGAACAAATTAATCTTCTTCCTAAGTTTGCTTTTTAAATATTTTATTATGTACTATTAATTGACCTGGCAGCTTTCATGCATCATAACCATTTTAAGAATATTGGTTAGCTATTGATCATCTAAGAACAGATTGTGGTAGTGGGAAAGTGCCTACAGTAACTTCTTTAGTATAATTTATTGTACACAGTCAAGGATACATATATTCCCAGAATGGTCATAAATTTCTGGTACAATATATTACTTGAGTTTGATCTTTGGATAAATTGAGGTCCATTCTTGCTAAACTGTTGACACAACAACTCAGAGATCCTCTCTACCTGCAGACAAGATTGCTGTTTGTTCTGATTGTTGTCAAACTAGAAAATGCTGACTTACACAGGTACATTGAAGTGAAAGGCAAAAGCACATTCATCACTTTTCTTGACTGATCATGGTATTCTTTGTGAACTAGCATTCAGAAATTGTCAAGAGGTTTTGACTTAAATTCTACTTGAAAAATTTTATCACTAGATAGTTCTATGAACTTTTATTTATCTGCCATTGACAGATAAGAAGTTATGCTGCTGGTAGATGGATTCAGATCCAAACAGGTTTACCTGTTGATTCTTGGAATTGAGCTGCAAATTGACACCTTTATCTCAAAGGTTTCACATTGCATCAGAATGTATTAGAAAAAAATTGTGAAAAAGTATGATATTAATTTACCGGTACAATTTGTTTCTTCCTGGCAGAAAATTAGGTCAAATTTTATCAAAAACAATACAAAGATACTGATACATCCTGTTCCATATACCAAATAAAGTGTGAAAATTGTGATGAAACTTACATTGGAGAAACCTACAGGCAACTACCCACCCGAGTTAAAGAACATTATAAACCACCTTCTCATGTCCATGAACATATGTCTAAATATAGTCATTCAATTCATCTTGATAATGTTAACATTTTTAGCTGAGAAAAAGATATAAATATCATAAAATTAAGGAAGTCTTGCTTATAAAACAGTTTGTGCCTAAAATAAATAAGTATTCTGGCACACAGTTGCATGTATTCTAATTTTAACTTAACTATGTTGATGTTCAAAAAGGTTTTTTTATATTATTTTCTGTGAATCACTTTACCTCTATTTACAATTTTCGGTTACAGTATTTAACATATAAATTTTATTGTTATAATATCTTATATATAAAGAGTACTTATATTCTCCTATTTTGTTGATTACGGACATTGACCCTCAAAAAGTCAAGCCCTATCAATAAACACCCTCCGGAAATATCATACCTTACTGTTAAATTTATCCAATCAAAGTTCAATGTACCCTTGCGCTGTATTATATATATTTGTAGTTTCAATTCATTCATTGATGATGCCAGGTTAACCTGGTGAAGCGTTGTACTTTCATTAAATTTTTGTCTGTTTATCCGATTTATCAAGTTTACTGTTTCATCATTTGTTTGTGCAGGAAGTATTTTACTACTTCCAGCTGCTTCATACCATATTAAAGGTGCCATACTTCCAGTATCATAAGATATGTTTCATCATTTGTTTGTGGGGGAAGTATTTTACTACTTCCAGCTGCTTCACACCATGTTAAAGGTGCCATACTTCCAGTATCATCAGATATGTTTCATCATTTGTTCGTGTGGGAACTATTTTACTACTTCCAGCTGCTTCATATCATGTTAAAGGTGCAATACTTCCAGTATCATAAGATATGTTTCATCATTTGTTTGTGTGGGGAAGTATTTTACTACTTCCAGCTGCTTCATATCATGTTAAAGGTGCAATACTTCCAGTATCATAAGATATGTTTCATCATTTGTTTGTGTGAGAAGTGTTTTACTACTTCCAGCTGCTTCATACCATGTTAAAGGTGCCGTACTTCCAGTATCATCAGATATGTTTCATCATTTGTTTGTGTGGGAACTATTTTACTACTTCCAGCTGTTTCATCATTTGTTTGTGTAGGAAGTATTTTACTGCTTTCAGTTGCTTCATATGTGGTATTCCAAAGATAAACTTAGCATAGAGTTAACTGATTCTTGGTAATAGTGGAATGTTCATGGACCTAATTTGCAGAAGGATAAGTTTGTCGTTGATGGAAATAGAGATACAGGATGTGGTGTGAAGTTGAAATATAATGAAAACTTTATTCACTTAAGAGTAACTGATCATATGGTTGGTTAGTTTATAGTATTGTGATTAGTGTTACAATAAATAAATCAAACTGCATTGAATTAAAAAATAATAACTGAAGAAAAAACACTAATTAAATGACCTCAGTAACTAACTGATCAGAAAGTTGGATCACAAGAATCCAGAAGTATCTATGCATGTATGAGAGTTATATATCATAAAACAGTAGATAGTTTCAATGAATAGATCCTGCTAGAGGTAAATTTTCGTATGCCCTCGACCAGATTTAGTATGTTCCAAATAAAAACTTTAGAAAAACCACTAAATATGAAATGGATATTTTAGGAAAGTGAGGTATGTGATATTTTCAACCAAAATAGAAATATGTTAAGATGTAAAAATAATGTTATCAAATTTAGGATATGTGCTCAGCATGTTTTCACATTTTATGACTGTTGACCAACTTGTGTGTCTTCCTAGAACTTTCTGATTCAAGGATAAAAGTGCCAGTGGCATAGTGGATTTAAAAGTTAATTGTGATTCTTTTTCAAATGTATATACAATGTCCCTATTTAAACCATAAATTGAGGCTTAAAGATATCTGTACTATACATTTAAAGCTTAGCCATTTTCCAGGTATGTAGGTAGTTCAAGAAGCGTTAGTATAGAAAAATTCTGAAAGTTAGAATTGCTTGAGTTATTTTTGGGTGATTGGATAGTTTCTGTTTAAGACAATTACCAAAAGCAAATAATTTATTAGCTCTTAACTATAAATCCTGACAACAAAATTAACTAATGAACTGATCTTTGAGAATGTATGTTTTCTCTTATTGTTAACAAAAATTGATGAATTTATTCTACAGTACATTAACATTAATTTGAGTGTCTCTCTTGAGGAATAACTTATCTAACATAATTGTTACATGATTCAATATTTTCTAATAACCATTCAGTGCAGTACTGGAAAATCAGTGAAACTTTAGTATATTGTGATTACTGTGTAAATCAAAGGTTTTGTGGAATTATGCTTAGGTTTGAGTAACTACCAAATTATTTTGGTATTACATACATTTTAAATTAAATCTATGCCTGGAACTCTAAAGTCTCTGAATTGGTGTTATGTTGCCTCTAAAAGACAGTAAGCCCATCATATCCAGTGAAAAAGACAGTAAAAATATGTGATAAAATGCTGTTTTTGTAATTTTGTTTTTAACAGCCACTTTATTTAATTGTTATAAAGCTGAACTAACTTGATATAATGTTTTTGTTTAGAATAATGTTGTCCAGGAAATTTGAACAAAGCAATTTTTCCATATCTTAGTTGACTGCACTCTGTGGAAAAAACCGAGCAGTAGAGAACAGGAGAGGGATTAGCTCTAGTACTACAAGATGGCACTTTCACAACTCTCTATATTCACTGTGGCTTTGGGCAGTCATTCTTACTATTCCATCTTTAGTAGTATGGGTCAGGAACTTTGACTTTTCTTCTCATCTTACACACGATCCTCATCTTCTTCCATCAGTTGTCATTATCCTGGCTTGCAGCACTTTCTGGCAAAAGAACATTCCATCTTCATTAAGGTATGTATTCTTAGTAATAAAGATTTGTATGCACTTTGTTTAAAGCTGTTTCTGTTCATTCTCTGTAAGAAGTAACACTGAAGAGAGGCACCAGCCTTTGTTACTTTAGAAAGAAAGGGTTTTATGCATACTGGTAGTAATTTTGATTTTACATTAGTGTCCCATTATTAAACTTCTACATTATGTAAATAAAATGATAAAGGTATATACAACTACTACAGATTCACTGATTTATTTTTAAATAAAAGTTTGTTAAAATGGTTATTGGTTACCCACAAATCTTGCTTTATAATTCTTGCAATACTATTTATTTGTAGCTATAGCAGTTGTATTTTCCTCTGAACTGCTTTATTAATGGTGATTATCATAAACATTTGTTTTTCAGTTCTATTAGCTGCACTCCAGTATTGTTTATCAAATGATTCAGGTGAATTCAAACCACAGAAATATTTTGTTGATTTTAAATCGGCAAGTTTCTAAATATTCATAATATTTCTTTCAGTTATCAGCAAAATAAGGCATTAATTTTCTAGTCACATTTAATTAGGAGGAAACCTAGAAAGTTGAATTTCTTTAAAAATTTATAATTCTAAGAAGACATTGCACACACTTCTTTCATGTGGAAGGTGCTATTTGTAAATTAAAATATTTGAACCTCTCCTCTTGTATTTAGTTTCAAGTCATCATCAGCACATTACACTAGACAAATGTGTGTGTGTAGGGGAATACTGCTATCATCTCACATCAGTAATTCATGTGGGAGAAAAGGGTTATTTTTATATCTACAAGGTTAGAAAAATTTAACAGTTATGCAATTCGTAGTAGGCTATTTACTCTCCGGGAATTATTTTAATGTAAGTAATATTCAAGTAATATAAAATTAGTCCATATGCTATAAAGTAGATAGTGTGCCTGGCATACCATTACTGTAGGTTTATAAAGTTGAATTAATATTAGTTTCAGATAAGAGCAGGCTATGTAATTAGAACAAAGCTAAAAATCAACCTGACAATCAATATAGCTAATTAAATACACCCTTCTTACGTTTCTAGTTATAAATATTAGAATGCATTATGTCATCAGTTGGGTACCCTTACTACTAACAACTTTTCTACCTCATATGATCAGAACTCTTTCAGTTCTGTTTCCTGACTCTGAGTCTATATAAGAAATATTTGAAAACAGTATTTATATGTACATTTAACTTTTTAAATAGAAGAGCCAGGATATTTATTTTCAAAGAAACTTAATAAAAACATTTCCTTTGTAATACATAAAAACGTTTGTTTTTCAATTATTTGTGAATGTTATGATTGAAAAGTAATTTGATTTTTTGTTATTCGTATGTACTTTAAATCTTGCTAACAATCCTTCACTTTCTGTGCATCAAACTGCATTGTTCACTCTGTTAAAGAACAAGCCTTTTTTTCTGTATTTTTTTCTAACAGGTGGCAGTATGGAACTATATCATACTTGGTCCATGCAGTAGCAGTGTTAACTGTAATTTTTGGACTGACCTCTATGTATCGTATCTTCTATTTTATTGCTGTCATTTTTGCTGCAGTTGCAGTTCAGCAAGCTATAGCTCTGTGCCAGGAGTGGAAATCATCCAAAATAGACTAAGAACATACTTAATAGTCAGTAAGTAGTATGTGTTTGTTACAGCTTAGTTCCAGCTTGTAGGTAGTATAATAGTCACATTTTGTATCAAATTTATGTTACAGTCAATGTTGCATTTTAATTTATTGTTCATCACAATTTGAAAGAAGAGTTACTATGTTACTAAAGGATAAATTTAATCTTTAGATGATTTCCTTAAGAGTTTAAAGGTTTTCTGTGAGTATTTATATGCATGTTTGGGAGTTGCTTTTCTGTTTAGAATAGTAAACTACTTTATAATAGGTATATTTAAAAATGATGGATATAGTTTAACTAAACTGTAGCTTCGGTCTGATGACAGTGTGGATTTATGTTATTGAATGTAACAAAATTTAGGAATGTAATTCAAGATATGTAAACACTATTTATGTTATCTTGTATGGCTTGCACCAGTGTTACACATCTTGTGTCTTTCTATCTCACAAATTGAAATGCAAAACTTTAAAAACAATTAAAGCTAATGTGTCCTTATGCTTTGTATTTGACATGACAATTTCAGGTATGGATTTGATGCCATTTGAATTATTTCTGTATTTCCTTCCATTATTAATGGTAACATTTCTATATTAATTTCAATATTGTTGCTCAGAGTATAGTAATATCCTGAGATTTATGTACATGGTTGCATTTGAATGCAGATTACAGTAACATCCTGAGATATATGTACATAGGCTGTATTTGAATGTAGATTACAGTAACATCCTGAGATATATGTACATAGGCTGTATTTGAATGCAGATTATAGTAACACCCTGAGATATATGTACATAGGCTGTATTTGAATGCAGATTACAGTAACATCCTGAGATACATGTACATAGGCTGTATTTGAATGCAGATTACAGTAACATCCTGAGATACATGTACATAGGCTGCACTTGAATGCAGATTACAGTAACATCCAATCGTCCAATGAGCTGTCCTTTGTTGGATCTTGACCCAAGTTTGGGGGGCCCACACATTTTGATATTCGGTCCACCGACTTTGGAAAGATAAGACATTATACTGTTATGGTTTTTGAATATTTTTACTGTTAATATTATTATTTGTAGTTATTTGGGTTCAATAACATAAGTATAGTTAGATTAGTCAATACTCATAGTGAAGTTCAGATTAGGCTTAACATGGGTCTTTGTTATTTTAGGATTACCTGTAATTCATCTTACTGGTATATCGTAAATTAGGTTAACTATATTGTTTTTTCTTCAAATCATCACCTCATACATATGTTATTATCAATACACACTTACTTAATTTTACAATATAACAGCTATTTCATTTTTTATTATTATTTATCGTTTATACTTCTTCATATTAACTTTGTTTGTGTGGACCCCTGGAGCCGGGGTCTGCACAAGCTTCTTCTCCCGATATTGTACGTATTATTGTTAGGTTAGGGTTTTTATCATTTAAAGTGTAGTGATTTACTTTGTCCTGCACAGTTTGATTAGTCTTAACAAATGTCTGTTATTTTCAGTTTACCTGTAATTCACCTCATCTTGATGTCTTCAACACTTACTTAAATTTACGTTATATCGTATTATTTCATTTTCGTAATTCTTTATAATTTATACTTCTTACAATTAATTTAGTTTATGAGGACCCCTACCTTCTCCTGATATTGCTCGCATTCCTCCTACAACTGCCTAACCCATTTCAGACAACGTAAATTTTGTCAGTTTTCCTGCACCTGATCATGGAGTGCCTTCCCAGGCCTCTACTGCAGAATATGCTTGGCCTATCTCAGGTTTTTTTATTATTATTATTTTAGACACTTTTTACAGTATATTCACCTTCTTCTCCTGACATTGTTTCATGGTGATCATTTTTGTCTCTCTTTTGAAAGTGCTGATTTGCAAAGCTCACCCTACCCAGGCTTTAATCCTATCCATTTTATCCCCCACCTAGTTTTCCAGCTTCATCTTACCCTATCGACTCTCCTCTGTCTACCTTACACCTCCTGTCTTAGATGTTCCACCTATATCTAGGGGAATTTTGTGGGAAACCTCTTCCTCCTTCCTTCCATGTTGGGGCATTTGTCATCTTCAGTTCTTTCCCTCCACACATGACTTCTTTGCTTTTGGGATCTTCTGGGGTGGGACACTGTTTTGTACCATTTGTTTACCATCCACTTCTAATAGGAACCTATGGTCGGCTCTTTTTCTCCACCGGGTCTTCTAGTAGAGTATGAGAATCCTTGCCATTTTCCAGTTCCTAGTTACTGGGGTGGTAGATCACGGAGGCAGCCTCCTGAATATGATAATTTCCATTCAGTGGACAGTAGGGCAGTAGTGTTTTGCCAGTGTAGATGTTAAAGATCCTCCACTCGTGTGCTCCACCTCCAGCCAGTGGGTCCTGGAGGTTGATTTTGTGCAAATTCAGTACAGTTCACTCTAGCTCTGTGGTTACTGGAAGTTTCAGTGATAGTTCAGTAGAATCAAATAGAGGGAGTCACATACGTCAGGAGGATGTGTTGCACTCCTATTAGTGGAAAGTGCATGATGGTTTACATGCGAGACACAGTTGAACTACATTAATCGTGGGGTAGGTGGGAGGTTCAAGGCTTGTGGCATGCAAACAAATTTTGCATACAGAGGACAGCACTGAATGGAAATAGCAATTATGTGAGAGGAGGTAAGTACCCATTAGAAATATATTTTCAGTGTAGGAAATTATTAATTTTGGCTCACTCTGAGAATAATGTTACACTTAATTCTAATTGGGTATGATCTGGTATCGTACATAAACAAACTCAACTAAACAACAGAGGAAACATGCATAAATTATAAACAGATTCATAATTAACAAAACTTAAGGAGTACTACCTTACTGTGTTAAGCTGTAGAAATTGGTAATTGATATAGTTTATGTATTGCTTTGATATGCTAGACAAAAAAAATCATTATTGTTCAGAGCATTTTGTAATTCTTCTTAGATTTTGACAAGTGTAATTCAGCACTCAGCTAGGGATAATTAACTAGTTTCATGAGGAACAATGGACCAATGGATGTTAATATCAAATATAATTTTAAACTTACCTTGTAAAGGAACAGTATTGATATTTAATTATTTCAAATTGTGTGTGTTTTTGTATATTATATTTTTGCATTTGAAAGCAGTTATGATATTGTATTTCCATTTTATTCTTATTCTTACTGTACTTGTGATGGCTTACATAACAATATCACTTCATTTGCTGTTAGACTGATTGAAGCAACTGGGAAAATTATGTTGTACATGACATGTTTGTATTTTTGTATTCCAGACATGTTTTTATCTCTGTTGTAGTGAAAAACAGTTCCTAAACAGTAATTATGCTCAGATTGTCCTAGTGACTGGTATTTATTTTAATTATCCATATTTCTAATGGACGTTGGTCAGCCATAGATCATAACAAATTGTAATACTTCTTGTGAGTTAACAAGCCAACTCTTTTTCACATCTTTTAAATTAAAAACTCAACTCATCATCATATACCTTCTGAAATATGGAGTCAGTCTTTTCATTGTAAACTTTCCATATTTATTGTCTTAAGGTTAATAGTCAGTTATTTATGATAACCCCACTGTTATTAGTGATGAACAGAACTTCTAAAAATAACCCACAAATACTTGTTAGTTAACAAGTCAACTCTTCATCATAACTCCATCTTCCTTTGGAATCAAAAGTTACCTCTTTATTCATAACCTTTCTCTACTTCTGAGTTAAAGATTCAACTACTTACAATAATGGTTAATACATTTACTGTTTATCAATCAACCTTTTATCAGAAGTTCTTCCTACTATTTAGCAAACGGCCGTCTGTATCACAGCTCTCTGATATTTTTGAATATAAGTCTCACCTATGTCTCACAATCACAGCTATACACCTATTACACAATCCTAATCACCTTTTTTTATGATAATATTTTTCTTTACTTATCTAACGGTTAACTGTCATAAGAATTCTTTAAATAAGCCTTCCTAACATAAAGTTCCAGGTATTTCATTTAGTAGCTTTGATATTTTTGAAGTAGGTTATTCTTTATTAGGAATAGCTAAATTACTTTTAAGTTTTAGATAATTACCTCATAATGCTCAAAGAAGCCTTAGTTTAGAGCTTTCAAATAACATTAGGTCAGGTTTGACCCAGTAGTAATTGTGTTCAGACTGTGAATCTGGGAGTTTATGGTTCATATCTCATTGCTATAAAAATGCTCTCCACACTTTGGTACCGTGGATGTGCTATAAGAAAATAGTTAAATTCCTCTGTTTGATCAGATAAAAGCATCCTACAAGTTGACAGTGTTTCTGTTGACTATCCTGCTTCCCCTCTAGCTCAGTGGTTCTCAACTGAGGACCAGCTAGTTCTGTTCCCAAAATCTCATGGACTGCTTCAAACAGTATTGAGTTTTTAGAATACTTTTAAGTTACATTGTAAAACAACGTACTTCAGTAGCTATATTTTAAAATACTTTTTTTCATCTTATGTACCATCTGAAACCCCCATGGATTGGTGGTTGGGAACCACTACTCTGGTTTATCAGGCCAAACTTAAGGATGGGTTTGTGCATATAGCCCTTTGTATGGCTTTGCATGAGAATCAGGAACAAACAAACTGATGAAATTGTGATAATTAAAGCAAATTAGTTTTCTTTCAGGTGCAAAAAAAAAGACTACAATACCATTTTATTTACCCCTAGAACCATCCAAACTGTAATAACCCTATTTTAATGTAACATTTGGCAATTAACTTGCCTAAAACTAAAATTTTTAACTACACAGTTCTCTTGAGGATTTCAGCCATTCGTTTTTCAGTTAAAAGATTGATTATTGTTTTTGGCTATCTTTGTATAAAGTATGCATTAGTGTGCATGTGATCACTTTTCTCATAACTCAGTCAGTAGGTATACTTTCACATTCTCATTTTATTGATATAATATCATGCTGAAATATATATCAAACTATATTGTTGTTAGAAGCTGTTTTTATTATCATTTGATAATTATGCATTGGGTAGTGTAACATGTTGTTATTCTACCCTATTACATATGTGAGAAAATTCCAAAGTATTGCTTGGGCTTTGCCCTAAGTACTTTTTAATTGATAGTGTAATTTGTATTTCAATTGTTTTGTGCTTAACTTTTGAATGAAAACTAGCTAGAAATATCGGTTATGTAACTGAGAGATTGTAAATGCCATTTTAGGTTATTTAGTGTTTTAAAAACTTATTGTAAAGAAACTTGAATAGTAGTACTTTAGTGTTTTCCTAATTAAATAAACATTTATTTCTTCACACAAATTTTATCAGTTGTACATAGTAAAACTTTTGTTTAATATAACTGTAACTGAGGGACTGTAAATGTCATTTTAGGTTTTTGAGTGTTTTTTAAAAAACTTACTTATTGTACCACGTACAACTGATAAAAACTTAGTTCTTTCTAATATTTAATTTATTTCTTCAATAGTTTAATAAACTTTCCTTACCATGTGAGAGTTACATTTTCATAAGTGTTGTATGATATAACAAAATAATAGTATGTAATAATAAATGCTGCAAATAAAATAATACTCCAAGCTTGCTTATATAATTTTTACTCAGCTTAAAAAATTTTTCATTACAAATAAGAATTATAATAGATTTACTAACAAAAAACTTAAACAACGTTAAAACAGCATTTCATAAGAAGAGTTCTCCAAAAAATGCTTACATCTCTCTATTTAAAATCAAAAACAAAGTACAATAAATGTGTTTTTACTTGCATAAAGACTAATCTAATACTACTTTAAAGCTTAAAACTTTAGTTGAGTAACTGATTTTTCAACATTAAATTTATGATTGAACGTTAAAAAAGAACTCAGTTATCCTTCTTAAATGCTGATATTGATAAAGAAAATATGTAATATTCATACTTATCATAAATAATGATAGTTTTATATCAATTGAATCTGCACCAAATCAAGTTGAGTGTTTTGAAATATCTTAAAATTTGTCTAAAATATAACATTCTTTTATTTACAGTGTGCTGACTTTATTCAAAGAAAGATTATTGAATTACTTTCTTAGACTTGTCCACAAATTCAAGTTCATTTCAAACTAAATTTGAAATTGGTCTTTTTTTTTTTTTTGTTAGCTAATGTTTGCTGTTAGAAAGTACTTGCCTAGAAAAATTCTTTGAATCTTTTACTAAAACTTTGAATTTGGTAATTACTCACTTCTGTGATAGTTTAATAAAATGAAACTAATATCACTATTTACAGATCTAGTTTCTGTTTTCAAAACTGTATGGTCAGTGCAGTTGATCAACACGCATGATGTTTGTGTTGATGTTTCATTGTTCTTCACCATTTTGTGGTAAATAGGGGCTATTAGTCTTGAATGATGAAAAATTGAGTTTTAATTAAGAAATATTTATTACCATCTATACAGAAAGTAAAGAACAGGGGGGTAATTGGAAATTACAAACTCTTCCTTATTTACTTTCACAAATGATAGAAACCACAAAAATTACCAGAATATCACTTTTAATTATATTCATAACCCATTCATAATAATTTGGCATTTTACATATCTTATATACTTAAGTATTCACATTTCACATTCAGTTATCGTCTTATTATCAAAAGTGCCATTGGTGATTATTGCAACATCTGAACACCCTTAAATATGGAATCTGATCTTGTGAGCCTATATTCTAGATTATATTTGATTACCAGAAACCATATTACTGTCACCGTGTGCACAACTCTTGTGCTTATGTGATACAAGCAATACATGGTCAGTTTTTGGTTCACTCCAACTATCAATGGGAAAGAGATATTCTTAAAGTTAATATCTGGTTGTGTTTGACTAAATCTAAAATTTATGGACCCTTTTTCTATGCTGAAGCTACAGTTACAGAGGTTATTTATCTGGATATGTTGCAGCAGTTCCTAGAACCGCAGTTGGTTGGGGATGGGATATTGAACACCGTCGTCTTTCAGCAAGATGGTGCATCTTGTCACTATGCAAACATTGTTTGCGAGTACCTGAATGAACGATTTCCATATTGGTGGATCAGACATGGAAACAACAGGCCCCTGGGTGGCTCAATCACCAGATCAAGCATTCTTGGGTTTCTTTGCATGGGGCTTTATCAAATCAGACGTCTATCAAACGAAGGTTAAAGATCTGCAGGACTTACATACACGCAGTGTAACGGCTGTTAACAAAATAACCCCTGAAATGCTCCAAGATGTCTTCAGAAATGCTGCGGAAAGATTTGAGCTCTGTAGAGATATTGATGGTGCACATGTAGAACCTTATTCTTAAGTATTCAATAAATGTATACCTCTATCATTTTATAATTGAATTTAACACAGTTACCTGCCATTTCTCTGAAATAGATAGAGACTTTATAAACACCCTGTATAACACTTAAACAGTGGATACTATCATCATTGGTTTGACAGGTAGCCACTACTTGTGCATGCTGTAGTTTCACCTATAGAATGCATGTTTTGCATTTTTCTATATATATATGTATATATATACTCATATGTGCCATCTGTGGTACAGAACATTATCATGTATATTCTTCTCCCTTATGTAAATTTTTTCCCCAGATTTCTGTTTTTATGTTATCTCAGTTTGGATGTGGAAAATCACTCGAATAAACATATTTTGGCTTTGTTTCTTTCTAGTTCTGTCCAGGACCTCATCCACTAATTGGCTATTAGCTGGGTTTCATGTATGAGTGGGTGTAGATTACATGCATAATAGCATTTTGTATCATATGCAAACCTGGCTTAAATTATTTTATTCTCTAGCATTAAAATTTAGATTCTTCCCTGCTAGTCAGATTTTTTGCCGAGATATTAGATCTTTACAGAACTAGAGATCTTAGTCTGGACTGATGAGAGACAGAGAGAGAGAGCTCACTAAAGTTTCACTTCCTTTCTTTTTCTCACTAGTCCAACACACACTTGCCCTTAGTTTTGATATTGTGATTGTGCTTTTATCAATAGACAATGTAATAGTACACCTTTTGACTCTGTCTCATTTCATCAGAACAACCTTAGCTAGAGATCTGAGACATATCCATTAACACTCCACAGTCTGGTATTTAACAAATATCCAGTTAGCTAACCTACTTGATTGCCCTGCAGGAAGTAAAATGGAGTACATTGATCTAAGTAAAGGAAGTAATCTAAAATGAAGATGGCAACATTAATATTCCTTACTGCCCAAGGGTTGCAAGAGTATGGATATGGTTAGGTATCAGTTCTTCACATCTTGATATGTCTATATCTAAGATACAGCGAAACAAAATCATTCAACAAAGTATAATGAGCTAAGAATATTAGTCTCTTGACAGAAAAAGAATTTTTCAAACCCAGAATTGTAGGCAAAATTCTGTTGAATTAACTACTGCAGAGCTTAATGAAGAGAGCCCATTAAAATGTTTATACAGATGTTATATGATTATTCCTGGAAGATGAGACTTGATCACTCCGTTCAGAATAAAGTATTCATTATCTTGTAGCTTGTAAGATTTATCAGTCTGTTTTATTTAATTCTTTTGCTGCTATATGTATGCTCTCCAAAAGATCAATTAAATCCTGTCTATTACTGTTCTTATGGTCTTTCATCTTTACATTTATCACCTAGCATGAGATGGGTATAAACTGCCAGAACTGTAAACCAAATTCTGTTGAATAGTGCATTATGGAGCTTTAATTAAGAGTACTCCCAAGCAGGTTTGCAGAGAACTGAATTACATGGTAAATCTCCATATAAACCTCTGACCTTTAACAAATCTGTATTCCTTGGGCATGATTGAAAATGTACTCACCGACGCTTAGCTTGTGCAAATGAGTTTAAACTTTCACATAGGCTGGCACAACTCAGGTAGAAATTTCTTATGTGTAGTTGACTTTTGCAACATCAGGATGGAGCAGAAATGACATTACTATGCACAATGAATGATGCAATAGTCAATTGAGTAAAATGTGGACAAAGTACATTTGACCATAATATTGACTGCACATTCTGGTTTGCTTAAGGTTGCACAAGGAGTGGAATGTGAAGGAGAATCATAGATTAGATAACTTTTATCAGTTTCATGTCATTTGGAGAGGGATAATCTAGTGCATGATATTTAAAATTATAGTATTATTATGGCATTTAGTACAAGTGACACCATTTGCAGTAGGACATAGCATGTTTCTAACAAAGCAAGTGAAAGTCATACTAATATTGGAAAAGTCTAATCTATGAATTTAGATGGAAAAGAAAGGTTTCCACAATATTATATCAACCTCTAGAAGACTTTATATGATGTTTTAGTAATACCTGCTACAGAACTAAGAATTTTTGCACTTACTCTATTTGGTCTTAAAACTTCTGGGATTTTGAAAGGATTTTACAATTGTAATAGGGATATACATAGTAGAAAATTGCTTCCTATGATAAAGTTTTATTACACACAGAAAACTGCCCAAGCTTGTTTTCTTTGGAAATATTCTTATTTTGCATAATGGTGGTTTTCTAATAGTGAAACCATTTTAGTCACTCATAATTTATGCACATGCAAAAAACCAGTCTTAAATCTAAACAATTCAATATATTGAAATAATTATGTGATTGGTTGCATCCATACATGCTTGAAGTATTGAATTCTTATGAGCATGAAAGACTCTCTGTTTAACTTCTTCTTCAAGGGTTGTGTTGGCAACTTTAGCACAGTGAAGGTGAGCTTATTAGACTGAAATCAAGCCAATTTCACCAGCCTATAGTAGAACAAAGTGTTATAGAAAGACTATGAATGCTATCATGTATGTTGCTATTGGTACCATTCCATGAGATGTAGAAATTGGTAAGTTCAGGAATGCTTTTTCCTGTTCATATTATATTTTCACCACAATCATACACATCACCTTCTTTTATTAAAATATGGTGGATCAAGTTCCAGATACTCTCCAAATGAGTATAGGCTTGTTCTTTGGTTGCAGAGAGGAGCTACATTATGTATAAATCTATACATATGTTATTGGTCCATTGAACATGTTATTAGCATCATTGCAGGTGAGCTGTTTTGTGTCTTCTTAGGAATGCATCTTACTAAACATCTTGGCATATAGATGAGTCTAGTGTAGTTTTTTTCTAACCATTTATACACTGACATGATGTCTAGTTGTGAGTGCGAACAGGTGATTCAATCTCAGATGCTGTAATGTATGATTGCAGTGAGCCAAAATCAACAGATAGCAGTCGTCTTATGTTGTGGTTGGTTATCTGCCTTGTCTAAGTGTTTGAACAATCATACAATTGGATTGAAAACAGTTTCACATTCTGCTAAAGATAATTTGAGACACTTAGAGCCGACTTACATCAATTTGCTAGTATTGGCTGTTTCCTTTTGTCTGATGGCTCTCAATAAGAGTTAAACATCCAAAGTTTTAGCCATGATTTGTGAAAAATTTGAAGTACTTTGAACTCTGGGATTCATTTCAAGGTTATGGTTGGCACACAACTGAATAAGACCACTATATATAATCTAGGCTGAAAAAA